AAAAGTTGCTGCCTCAGAGCAGTGTGGGCATCTAGCTCTGCCGAGGTTTAAGTGTGGGTTCGTCTGACCTAAATGAGAACTTTTTGTTGCCGTTTGTCTTCTTGAAGGGGATTATTGTTTTCTTCCCAATTCCTGCTTTACTCTGGGCACAATTTCTTCTGCAGAAACTGTCACAGTTCTATTTTTTCAGGGACCCAAATGAAAATAAGTCGCAGTGACTTTACTGGGTTATCCTAGATTGCCCAAGACCATTGTAAAATAATATTTATGTACACAAAACCTAAATATAAATTTTGCAAGAAGTCCTGTGCATACTATGGGTTTTCAAATTGTGTATTTTTATCATGGATTACTTGAAATAAATGTACCGTTATTATTATTTAGGGATTATGCGGCTTAAGCTTTGGTGGCCCTATAAACACCCAACAAAGAAATTAAAATGATTTATCCATGGCAGAGGAGGGTAGGATTTTAGCACCGGCGTTGCTGGAGTGCAGACGTCTCACTCTATCTGGTCCTGAATATCAGTGATAAATTCCAAATTCTCTCTCTAGGGCGTCTGTCCTCACCATGCCTAGCCCGCTGGACAGTTGATCTGGGGCGCTTTTCATCAGCTTCGTTTTATTTTTCGCTATGTTGTGGCTTAGCGCTTCTTTTTGATTATAATAATAATAATTTTCGCTATGAGGATTTTCAAGGCTTGGGGAAAGCCTGTTTGCCGACTCAGATAGTAGGATGTCTGAATCTACAATTGTTCTTAAGGTGTGGGACCCACCTGACCTAAGGATTTCTGTGCTGGCTTTGGTGAAGTGAGGACGTCTCCTTCTACCCGAGCCTTGAGCATCAGTGACGAATTTTCCATGTTTTATCATTCCCGTCCTCCCAGACGTGTGTCACCATCAGACTTCTAAGCAATTGTTTTTTTAGGGGGGGGGGGTCTAACATAAATTCCTTCTAGGCCGATCGAAAACCTGCTGTTCTTGACTTTGTTTTGGGTGGCCGACTCTGCCAGAGTTTACGCAAGGAAGTGCACCTGACCCCAATTGCAAACCTGTTGTTCTCGTTTATCTTTCCGGAGGAAACTTGCTTTCCTTTATAATCCTGCTCACATTGGAGCAACATTTTTTCCCAGACTCAGGGAAATAGGTCTCAATAAGGTGTAATCTTTCGTGTCCCTTAGCGCCCTAAAAGGCTATATCTGGACTTCTGAACCAACCTTGGTATGTGTGTGTCTGGCTCTTGTTGTGCGTCAATAACAAATAACCCCAGGATGCTTGTCCTCATTTGATTCTGCCCGCAGAGCGCGTTAAAGGAGAGATACCAGTTCTATTTTACCGCTCTGCAGATATTTCACACTTGTGGTGGGAGCTCTGTTACTGAGGATGTAGTGTGTCTGCTAGGACTAAGCAGGAGAGACCACCTAACCTAATTGAGAACTTTTTCTTCATATTTTTATTTGCAAAAAAAACCTCCTGTTCCTTTTATCGCCCAGCTGTGATTTCTGGATTTTGTGATTTCTGGGCAGTATTTCTCCCTCGTTTATCCAGAATCACAATTCGGTACGGCGTAATATGTCCGTGACCCTATAAACCACAAGAAGGCTTGCACCATGGTGGCCCTTAACAACCCCAACACCACAAGATACGGCGTCAACTGTCAATGGCCCTATAAACCTTAGTGTGGTAGCTCTAGTTCCTTGGGCTCTTGTAGGTTTAGCGCTTCATTTTTTTTTATTATAGTAATAATCTAGTTCCTTGTATTAAGAGCCTTTGACCCCACTCATGTACCTGTCTGCCCTTTACCTGTTAGAGGAGCAGACAGGTATAAGAGTGGGAATAGTATTTAGGTAGCATGGAACAGTAGTACCTACGTAGCGTGGAACAGTAGTACCTACGTAGCATGGAACAGTAGTACCTACGTAGCATGGAACAGTAGTACCTACGTAGCATGGAACAATAGTACTTAGCATGGAACAATAGTACTTAGCATGGAACAATAGTACCTACGTAGCATGGAACAATAGTACTTAGCATGGAACAATAGTACCTACGTAGCATAGAACAATAGTACCTACGTAGCATAGAGCAATAGTACCTATGTAGCATGGAACAATAGTACTTACGTAGTATGGAACAATAGCTACGTAGCATAGAGCAATAGTACCTATGTAGCATGGAACAGCAGTACCTACGTAGAATGGAACAGTAGTACCTACGTAGAATGGAACAATAGTAGGTACGTAGCACGGGCCAGTAACACCTATCATGGGTCAGTAGGTTTACTGTAGTGCTGATTTATTATGTTCCTATAACTGACGAAGAAATATAAGTTATAACCTCGTAATTCAGAATTATTTTCCCAAAATATTATTCATTAAATAATAATAATAATAATCACACATACACACACACAGCTGACTCTCAGGGCCAGGAGCTGAGTCTCGACCTCCTGCAACCACAATTAGGTGAGTACACACACACACACACACACACACACACACATATAGATATAGATAGATAGATAGGTAGTAGGGTGATAGACAGCAACCACCCAGGGAGGTACTACCGTCCTGCCAAGTGAGTGTAAAACGGAAGCTTGTAATTGTTTTACATGAAGGTAGGATTGCTGGTGTCTTTTTTCTGTCTCATAAACATGCAAGATTTCAGATACGTCTTGCTACTTCTACTTACACTTAGGTCACACTACACATACATGTACAAGCATATATATACACACCCTTCTGGGTTTTCTTCTATTTTCTTACTATTTCTTGTTCTTATTTATTTCCTCTTATCTCCATGGGGAAGTGGAACAGAGTTCTTCCTCTGTAGGCCATGCGTGTTGTAAAAGGCGACTAAAATGCCAGGAGCAAGGGGCAGGTGACCCCTTCTTCTTTATATATTAAATTTACAAGGAGAAAATTTTGTTTTTCCTTTTGGGCCACTCCGCCTTGGTAGGATGTGGTCGTTGCGTTGAAAGAAGAAAAAGAATATACATGTATATGAAGTTCAACGATGAGAAATTTAAATTACTCAGATATGGTAAACACGAGGAAATTAAATCTTCATCAGAGTACAAAACAAATTCTGGCCACAAAATAGAGCGAAACACCAACGTCAAAGACCTGGGAGTGATCATGTCGGAGGATCTCACCTTCAAGGACCATAACATTGTATCAATCGCATCTGCTAGAAAAATGACAGGATGGATAATGAGAACCTTCAAAACTAGGGAGGCCAAGCCCATGATGACACTCTTCAGGTCACTTGTTCTATCTAGGCTGGAATATTACTGCACACTAACAGCACCTTTCAAGGCAGGTGAAATTGCTGACCTAGAAAATGTACAGAGAACCTTCACGGCACGCATAACGGAGATAAAACACCTCAATTACTGGGAGCGCTTGAGGTTCCTAAAACTGTATTCCCTGGAACGCAGGCGGGAGAGATACATGATTATATACACCTGGAAAATCCTAGAGGGACTAGTACTGAACTTGCACACGAAAATCACTCACTACGAAAGCAAAAGACTTGGCAGACGATGCAACATCCCCCCAATGAAAAGCAGGGGTGTCACTAGCACGTTAAGAGACCATACAATAAGTGTCAGCCCCTCATGGAAGGTTCCTTGATGGGGCTCTTGATTTAAGGAATTGGATCTGTGCTCCAGTTCCCCGAATTAAGCCTGAATGCCTTCCACATCCCCCCTCCCCTGGGCGCTGTATAATCCTACGGGTTTAGCGCTTCCCCCTTGATTATAATAATAATAAGTGTCAGGGGCCCGAGACTGTTCAACTGCCTCCCAGCACACATAAGGGGGATTACCAACAGACCCCTGGCAGTCTTCAAGCTGGCACTGGACAAGCACCTAAAGTCGGTTCCTGACCAGCCGGGCTGTGGCTCGTACGTTGGTTTGCATGCAGCTAGCAGCAACAGCCTGGTTGATCAGGCTCTGATCCACCAGGAGGCCTGGTCACAGACCGGGCCGCGGGGGCGTTGACCCCCGGAACTCTCTCCAGGTAAACTCCAGGTAAACTGTATATATATTGTAACTACATAATCAAAAACAACATTGTGGCTAGCCGGAGAATTGAACTCGTGTAGTTTCAGCCCCCGTTATGGCGAGTGAAAATTAACAGCGCTCTAAACCACTGGACTGTACAATCCTACGATTGTAGGATTGTACAGTCCAGTGGATAAGAGTGTCATGAATTTTCACTCGCCATGAGGTGGGCTAAAAAACACGGGTTCGATCCTTTGGCTAGCCACAATGTTATATATATATATATATAATATATATATATATATATATATATATATATATATATATATATATATATATATATATATATATATATATATATATATATTTTTTTTTTTTTTTTTTTTTCAACAAATCAGCTGTCTCCCACCGAGGCAGGGTGACCCAAAAAGAAGAAAATCCCCAAAAAAGGAAATACTTTCATCATCATTCAACACTTTCACCTCACTCATACATAATCACTATCTTTGCAGAGGCGCTCAGATACGACAGTTTAGAAGTCCCTCCAAATTGCCAATATCCCAAACCCCTCCTTTAAAGTGCAGGCATTGTACTTCCCATTTCCAGGACTCGAGTTTACAGATGACCTGGACATGCGACGGGCTCTCTGACCAGTATACATACCTAAATAATGTATATTAGTGCTGTTTATTACAATATACAGTACACTACTGAATAAACATTTAAAAATATACTGAAAATGTTATAAATGGTGCAAAGGTGACATTAAATCAATATCAAAGATGGTTGACACAAACCCACTACCATTATAGTATGTTCCTTGCTTAGTGACGAATTCGTTTACTGATGTGGTCTTAGAAACGGAACTCCGTCATTAATTGAGGAGAGGCTGTATATGATAATATGTACTAATAATAGTAAAAAGATATTTGTACTATTAGTAGTAATATTGTGATAGTGTAATAAAATATGTTAATAATACTTTTGTGTTGCAGCGGCTGTGTTGCACACAGCACTGTTGTTCGTGCCATCATGTGAGGTGTCGCCAGCGACGGAAGCGGCACTCAGCTTGAGGTGTGACACTAGTGGTGCTGCCATGGTGCTCGACCCCTGTGGCAACCCATGCCCTCGACCCGTGGCCTTTCACTCATCTTCCTTTGAGTAAGTTGATTATAATTACGTATTAATTATTGTACAGTGGACCCCCGACATTTGATGGCATCGACATTTGATAAATCCGACATTCGATGCATTTTAACGCAAAAATTTCGCCTCGACATTTGATGGAAAACCCGACATTGATACGATTCGTACGAGACGTGCCCACATGTGGCCTGAACTGCCCCGTGTGTGCCAGTGTTTACAAGCCAGTCAGTGTGCGCACATCTAAGGATACATTCGGTACATTCCATATTATCCATATTATCACTGTTTTTGGTGCTTGTTTCTGCAAAATAAGTAAAAGTAACCATGGGCCCCAAGAAAGCTTCTAGTGCCAACCCTTCGAGAAAAAAGGTGCTAATGACTATTGAAATGAAGAAAGAGATAATTGCAAAGTACGAAAGTGGGGTGCGTGTGTCGGAGTGCATGATGATTTGGTAAAGAAATTGCCTGCAACTAGTGGTGATGTGAGTGAATTTAAGGCCAGCAAAGGTTGGTTTGAAAGATTTAATAATCGTAGTGGCATACACAGTGTGGTAAGGCATGGTGAGGCTGCCAGTTCAAGTCCTAATGGAAGGGGATTTCTCTTCTAAACACTAACACCATCCACACACTCCCCTCCTCCCATCTCATCAATCATCACCAGATCTTCATTAAAGGTAAGTGTCAATTATTCTGTTGTTATTAATCTATTGTTATTGTTGTTATTGTAATTATTCTGTTGCATTAAACTTAATATTTCATGTGGTAAAATTTTTTTTTTTCATATTTTTGGGTGTCTTGCGCGGATTAATTTGATTTCCATTATTTCTTATGGGGAAAATTAATTCGACTTTCGATTATTTCGATATTCGATGAGGTCTCAGGAACGGATTAATATTGAATGTCAGAGGTCCACTGTATTTATGGAAAAAGAGGTAAACCTGTAGGGGTTTAATACCAAAGGGGAAAAAAGGGAGCAGTCTTTTCAAGGGCAGATTTTTTAACCTTGCATGGAACCCCCAACTTGGGCCCTGGTGGGTAACGCTCTCGTCATACACATTTTTGTGGTTCAATCCCCGAAAAGGGAAAAAAACTTTGGGTGTACAGTGGCCCCCCGCATACGTCGCCCACATAACGTACAATCCCAACGCTCGCTTTTATCGCAAAAATTTTCCCTGCATACCGTAAAAAACCCCGCTCATGCTCTTCGCCCGGACGTGTCCAATGTGCGCCCTTCCGCCCCGGGGGGCATTGTTTACCACCCAGCCCCCGGGTAATCCAAGCATACAATCGGAACATTTATATTTTACAGTGTTTTTGGTGTTTTTACTCCCAAAAAAGTGACCATGGGCCCCAAGAAAGTTCTAGTGCCAACCCTACAGCAATAAGGGTGAAATTACTATAGAGTAAAAAAGGGAACATTGAAAAGTATGAAGGGAGTGCGTGTCCCCGCCCTGGCCAGTTGTCAAAAAACCCCCAAACAACCATCGCTATAGGGGGCAACAGAAAGGAAATAAAGGGGAAGTGTTCTCCCAAAGGTTTAATGTGTTTTCGAACAGAGATCGCAAGTGATGGAAGATGTTGAGAGACTCTTATTGGTGTGGTAAATGAAAAACACTAGCGGGATGCGTCTCTCAAGCATCAAAAGCAAAAAAGGTTTGAATTTGCATGAGGATTTAATAAAAAAACCTGCAACTAGTGATGATGTGAGTGAATTTTAAAGGGCCCAGAAAAGGGTTTGGGTTTGAGAGTTTTAAAAACGTAGTGGCATAATAGTGGATAAGGCATGGGGGGCTGCCATTTGGGACCAAAAAGCAGCTGAAAATATTGCGGAATTCAAGCAGTACTAGACAGTGAAGGATGAAACTAAACAAGTGTTTAATTGTGATGAAACAGGCCTTTTTTGGAAGAAAATGCAACAGGCCCTACATTACTGAGGAGGAAAAAACACTCCCAGGAATAAGCCTATGAAAGACGGCTTTCTTTGTTGATGTGTTCCCAAGTACTGTGATTGCAAAGTGAAACCTTTTTTATGTACCTCTGAAATCCCAGACTGTTCAGGCAAAAAAATGTCCTCAAGGAGAATTTGTGTGGCTGTGGAGGGCAAAAAATAAGGCATGGGTACTAGGGACTTTTTCTATGATGGTTACACCTGCTTTGCCCCCCAAAGTGAAAGATTACCTAACTGAAAAAAATTGAACTTTAAGTCCTCCCCGGTGTTTTGACAAAGCCCCCGGTATCTACAGACGTGCAGACGACTTTATGGGGGGCATGAATTTTTTAAGGTGAAGTTTTTGCTCCAATACCAATCCTCTCCTGCAGCCCCTGGACCAGCAGGTTATTGCAAACTTCAAAAAACTTTACACAAAAACTCTGTTTTAAAGGGGCTTTGTAGTGACCCCAGAACTCAAATGATCAAGAGAGTTTTGGGGAGAGCACTTTAATACCCAAATTTTGTAAACTTATAGGTAAGGGGTTGGGAGGGAGTGATAAGAAGACCTTTAACCTGCTTGGAAGAAACTTGGCCAAATGTGTAGACAAAAGGATTTTGAAGGGTTGGGGCTAACCCTGGAGGATTATCCCAGTTGGGGAAACCCTTTTGTGGCAGGGGGAAAGTCCTTGGGGTTGGGGGTTAGTGGGGGGAGGGGAAAAGAGGGTGGAGGGGGACAATGAAAAACTAACCACTGATGAGTGATAGATAAACTTCAACGCAAGAGGTCAGCCCTGGGGAAAAAAACGGGTTCGAGGAGGGGAGAGGAAAATTGAAGAAGTTGCCACTCAAAGATTAAGGAAATCGTGCAAAGTGGCTTGAATGAAAACCTTTCATGGTTTAAATCCCCTCACACAGCTATTGCAACCGTTTTGGCAACCTGTACATGCAATTTTGTAAACACTTTAGGGAAGTCAAAAGGGAACAGAGGTACAGGCCCTTTGGCGTTGTTGGCGAAAGAAGCCCAGTGACTCTGAAGGGGTCCTAGTGGCAAAAAAGAAAAAGGGAAGTAACCCCAGAAAAGGACTCGACACCTCAAGTCTTAAGGGAAAGGGGAAATTTCCCCCTTCTAAACACAACACTCTCTCTCCCCTCCTCCCATCCCATCAACACACCAGATCTTCAATAAAAGTAATGTCAGTAATTTGTCATGCCTTTTTCAGTTTGTGTGTTTTAAAAAATTAAAATTTCATGTGGTAAATTTTTTTTTTCATACTTTTGGGGTCTTGCACGGTTAAATTTTGATTTCCTTTATTTTTTAGGGGGAAAATTCATTCCATACCGTTCATTTTGCATAACAATGAGCCCCCTTTCACGGATTAAAGTCGCTATCGGGGGGCCACTGTATTTATTACACCTGCTGTCCCATTCACCTAGCAAGTAAAAGGTACCTGGGGGTTAGTCATCTAGCTTGGGTTGTTTTGGGGGGGGCAAGATTGAGGACTGCAATTGAAAAAGACAGACAGTCCCTTTACGATAATATTTCTTGGGATATCCTGGGTGTAACCCCCATGGTTAAAAAACCCAAAAAATTTATTCTTACATACATACAATGTTTATTGCCCTGTAGTTTTAAGTTAGGCATAATTTACCCAGAATGCTCTCATAACCATGGGGTTTCAATGTTGCCCCTTCCTATACTATAAGCAATGTAAACAGCAGAAATAAACTTGAAGTTGAATAAGGGACTGTACTTCCCTTTGAGGGTTAAGTTAATTTTTATATTATTTAAAATATTCTTTTTCCTGGGGAAAATGGAAAATAATCCCTTTCCCCTGTAAGCCCTGCATTTTTAAGAGGGGAACTAAAATGCCAGGGCAAGGGGCTAGTAACCCCCTTCTTCTGTATAAATTACTGAATGTGAAAAGAAGAAAAGTTTTCATTTCTTCTTTTTGGGGGTCACCCCGCCTTGGTGGGAGATGGCCGGTGTGTTAAAAAAATTAATATATTCGCGGAAAAATGCCACACCTGTGAGAATCTTATAGCACTTGGTGAATGAGAGGGACTCATGGTGAAAGACGATATTCGAGTTTGATCCGAGAAAAGGAAGAGTAGATTTAACTCCTTGAAATGAGGTTCTTTTAAGGGGTTGTATTGCAATCATTTTTCTTATAAAGTTCTTCTCTGTAGTGCAATTTTTTTTTTTTGCAAATCCAATTAAAAAAATAAATAGCACGTGAGAAGGCCTTCATGGTGTGCTGTTCACGAGGAAAATAATAAGATGGATAATGAGATGATGGACATATGTACATCTGTTTAACAATTTGGGACCCGACTGTGCATAAGTTATCCTTATCAAGTTTCTATGTCAAAATGAAATACAGTGGTACCTCGGGATACAAATTTTTTTTGTTTCAGCAGGCTGTTCAAGTGCCCATACCGAACGAATTTGTAATCATAAGGAATAATGTAAATCAGATTAATATGTTTCAGACCCCCAAAAATACACTTATATAAAAGCACTTACATAAATACACTTACATAATTGTTCGAGTTTTGAGCTGTCCCTATCCTGAGGTACCACTGTACAGTGGACCCTCGACCAATGATGTTAATCCATTCCAGAGAGCTTATCTTTAGGCAAATTTATCATTAGTCAGATTAATTTTCCCCATAAGAAATAATGGAAATCCAAAAGTATTAAAAAAATTATTTCTTTTTCATGAAATATACATTTCCCTACAAAGAAAACAGTGAGACATGCACAATAACTATATAAATAAATGTTAAAATGACACCTTTATTGAAGAGTATTGATGAGTGATGAGACACTGTTTTTCTTGAACACTGGGATTTTCAGAGTGATACACTAGTAAAGTCTTCACTTTGCAGTTCCCACTAGCATTACAACACAACAAAAAAGTTAGCCTGTCTTTCATAGGCTTGTATCCTGGGAGTGCCTTTTCCTCCTGAGTAATGTAGGTCCTGTTTGGCATTTTCTTCCAGAACAGGCCTGTTTCATCACAAATGAACACTTGTTGGGGTTGGAATTTTTCAGCTTCGCCATGGCTTATCACACTGTGTATGC